GAGAGAGAGAGAGAGAGAGAGAGAGAGAGAGAGAGAGAGAGAGAGAGAGAGAGAGAGAGAGAGAGTATTTGGACCCATTTTTATATTTAATAATAATAATAATAATTTTAAAAAGTGAAAATGATAGAAAAAATATATTAATGATAAAATAATATTTTTAGTTTGGACAGAAACAAACTTGTTCAAAATGACCACAAATCTAAAAGTTTAGTGATTTTGCCTCAAGAAATACCCACTATACTATAGTTGCTATTTTTGAAGTTTTGTCGGAGTTAAATATAAAAGCAAGACCACATTAGTAACTTCACATGGTTTTAAGTTTTAAAGGCCTAATCTAAAATGATAGGAATACGTTTCAAAATAAATCAAAACAACAGGGACCCAATTCATGATTTTGTTATAAGCACAGGAACGATTTTTGTAGTTTTTATGAGTACTTGCGTGTCTTGCATTTTTTTGTACACATCAAAATTTTGACGAATGACGAATCATGGTGAAGTTCAGAAATTTCCGTCACCGCCGCAGAATCGCTCAAGAGGCTGCGATTCTTTGACTCGTGACATTAAACATCATGGAGGAGGAGACCAGACGATGGAGGATTTTGTTCGGCAATGTTTCTCTGTTGAAATGTAGCATCGATCGATGGCTGCCGGAGTCAGAATCGTCGGAGTTAGTAATGTTGGAGAAACGGCGGATGTAGAGAGAGAAGAAGGCCATGAAGAAGAGTACGGTGAGGAGAAAGGGATGGTGTTGGCCGACTCTAACCTCATCGAAGATTCGAAATAGTTGATTTGACTCATAAGCTGACTGAGGAGTGGGGTTCACATCGTCAATTTTCTTTGATAAAAGGAATTACTGGCTTATGGAATTTTTACATCGACAAATAAGTTTCAATTTGCAATGTTTTGGTCAGCAAATTTTCAATCTATCATCTTTTCGCTGAAACTCCTCAATTGCAACTTGCAACTTTGGGGGCCACAAATATGTGGTGTGCATTGGTTCAAACCTTATCTCTACTGTAAACAATAATTGAAATCGATTTCCTTGTTCACATATTTCATTCACATCTCTTGATAATTGAAATCATTCTCTCTTTGCATTCCATTTCATCCAAATCTATACTATATTCTCTGCTTTTATCATATTAAACTATGGCTGAACTCATTCTTTCTGCCTTGTTGACTGTGGTCTTTGAAAAGCTGGCTTCTGGACAATTGAAGAAGATTGCTTCCTTCAAGGGAATTGATTCTGAGCTCAAGAAACTGAAGAGGTCATTAATCCAGATCAGAGCTGTGCTTAATGATGCTTCTCAGAAGGAAATAAGTGATAAAGCTGTTAAAGGATGGCTGAATGCTCTCCAACATTTGGCTTATGACATTGATGACGTGCTTGACGATTTAGCCACCGAAGCTATGCATCGTGAGTTGTGCGAGGAGCCTGGAACCTCCACCAGCATGGTAAGAAAACTAGTCCCAAGTTGTTGCACAAGTTTCTCCCAAAGTACTAGGATGCATGCCAAGTTAGATGATATTGCCATCAAGTTACAAGAACTGGTAGTGGAAAAAAATAATCTGGGTTTAAGTGTGATAACATATGAAAAACCAAAAATTGAAAGAAATGAGGCGTCTTTGGTAGATGCAAGTGGTATCATTGGACGCGAAGATGATAAGAAAAAATTTCTTAAGAAGCTGTTGGGGGATAAAGATGAATCAAGTAGTCAAAACTTCAACATCGTGCCCATAGTTGGTATGGGTGGGGTTGGTAAAACAACTCTAGCTAGACTTTTGTATGACGAAAAGGAAGTGAAGGATCGCTTCGAACTCAGGGCTTGGGTTTGTGTTTCTGATGAGTTCAGTATCCTCAATATAAGCAAAGTTATTTATCAATCAGTGACCGGTGAAAACAAGGAATTTGCAGGTTTAAATCTGCTTCAAGAAGCTCTTAGAGAGAAACTTCAGAACAAACTATTTCTAATAGTTTTGGATGATGTATGGTCTGAAAGCTATGGTGATTGGGAGAAATTAGTGGGCCCATTTCTTGCAGGGTCTCCTGGAAGTAGAGTTATCATGACAACTCGGAAGGAGCAATTGCTCAAACAACTCGGTTTTTCTCATCAAGACCCTCTGCAGCATCTAGCACAAGAAGATTCTTTGTCTTTGTTTGCTCAACACGCATTGGGTGTGGATAACTTTGATTCACATCCAACACTAAGGCAACATGGGGAACGGTTTGTGAAAAAATGTGGGGGATTGCCTTTGGCTTTAAGAATACTTGGGAGATTATTGAGGACAAAAACAGATGAGGAAGAATGGAAATATCTGTTGGATAGTGAGATATGGGATTTAGGAAATGGAGATAAGATTGTTCCTGTTCTTAAACTAAGCTACAATGATCTTTCTGCCACTTTGAAGTTGTTGTTTGCATACTGCTCCTTGTTCCCCAAGGACTATGTGTTTGACAAAGAGGAGTTGGTTCTGTTGTGGATGGCAGAAGGATTTTTGCACCACTCTGCTGCAAGAAAGTCAATGCAACAGTGGGGTCAGAAATGTTTTGAAGAGTTGCTGTCAAGGTCATTTTTTCAACATGCTCCTAATGACAAATCGTTGTTTGTGATGCATGACCTCCTGAATGACTTGGCCACATTTGTTGCTGGAGATTTTTTTTTAAGGTTAGACATTGAGATGAACCAGGAATTTAGGAAGGAAGTTTTGCAAAAACACCGACATATGTCACTTGTTTGT